TGATCGATGAACTGATACATCCTTATCCCCATAGCAGCATGGTGAGTGCTTAGGTGCGACTTAGACTCGCTCTGGCATGGATTCTGCAGGTACAGCATACCGATATCCTATCAAGCTCCCCGCTGGAGGTAAACTGAAGGGTTCCTCAAGGTTGTTGCGAAAGATACAACATTGTACCGGTTTGGGATACTTATCGGAAGGGGAGAGGGTCGTGATTGCCTTTGGAGAACTTCCCGAGTCGCAAAAACTTTTTTCCGATTGAATTTTCTCAGTTTTATCCCGTTTCATGTTCACTATGTACATATCCCTCTTGTTGCCAGCACTGCAAAACTCTTATATAACTATTAGTGAGACGGAGGTGGTGTACTGGCAAGGGCATGCTTACCACGCGTGCACTCACGGGTCAAATACCGGATCAGCTCCCACCCAGGGTGACCAAGCTCCTCCCCCCACACTTGAAGACGGAGACGGCGAAATGGTACCAGATGGGTATGAGGGATAAGAACCTTGACTTGTACATCTGCCGACCCCCGCAAGCCATTGCATAGGCCATTTCTAAAATAAGTCACTATTCCGAATGGGATATACTGCGCGCTGCATCTCAAAAAGGTAGACGAAGACTTCCTTTATCCTTTTACTACTATTTTTGATAGATGAAATTAGGAGTTGGCTATTGACGATCCCCTTCTTCGATGGCAGTTTTTAGGGAAAAAGGAAACTTCTTTGAATAACTAGGAAAACATGAAGATGCAACGTAGGGTAGGGAAAGGTGGAGGGCTGCCAGATGAGGGATTGTGTGGGGAGGGGGGGGGGCTCATATAGATACCGCTATTTCACAATGCTGTACTGCGGAAGTAGGTTATGACGGAAAATTCCAGCCCTTTCATGCGTGTGCGCTTGAACAGCCAACACTCAGTTTACGTCATCCGGCCCCCTGACGTTAGCATATTTCCGACTTTTGACTTGACGAGTAATCATTTAGAGCAATTTCTCACTGATTTTGCTCGACAGTTTTCCTGTTAATAGATGTTTTCAGTCGGGTGATTTAAGTCAGCACTAATCACTATTTATCCGTCTAAAATGTTCAGGTGTGTTCTGCAAGCAACACTGTACTGAGGGATATACTTCGACCAGAATCGCTACGAATAGAGAAGGTCATGCCTGGAGGTAGTACTCTCTAATCGAACAATTCTCGAGTGCTGCTTACAGTGGAAATCATTTCCAGCTGACAATAAGAGGCGTTTTTCCACGGGTGCGGACAACTCCAGTCGTTTCGCTCCAAAATATATCAAACACGCTCCACATCCTTTCGCAAAAGCCACATCATTTGATAGCGGAACGCAGTTGCCAGGTGAGTCTAAGTTCCGTGTGGCACGGTTTTTTGGAGCGTCAATTTCGCGTTTCCCTTCTCAAAATCTTCACCGCAATAATATTACCCAACTGCACCTTTCCTTCGTTTTATCGTGTCTTGATCTTTTTTG